CGGCTTGTTACTCTACCCAATCTACTTCTGACATGGGTGGGTGCGCTAAGTGCCGAGGAGACTGCAGCGCTGTTCCCTGAGACGGGAAATCCGCTGTTGGGACCGGAGGAGAGTAGCGAGTTGTACATCACCTCTGAAATTCTCGCTGCTTTCAAGAAGACGATGAGTGAGATTGGGATTACGATGACGTTTATCTCGGGGTCTTGGACGCCGGTCGAGAAGCTTTTGAAGATGGTTCCTTCGTCGTCGGATTTAAACACGTTCATCTTGGGTTCGGAGACTATCTACTCGCCAGCTTCACTCACGGCGTTTACTGATGCGGTTGTCGCGCTGATGGGACGGGTGAAGACGGGAAAGACGATGGTAGCGGCGAAGAGAGTCTACTTTGGGGTTGGAGGTAGTGTTGATGGGTTCAGGGAAGCTTGTGCACAGAGAGGATGTGTGGCCTACGAGATGGAGTTCGAAGGCCTAGGCGATGGAAGCGATGGAGGTGTAAGGAGATGTTTGGTCGAGGTGCAGATGTATTGAACTTTGTAAAAATAATGGTTCATTGCGGTCATGAGTTATGGATGAGATGGGTATCTAGGGATGTACCAAGTAGAAAAATGAAACCAAAAGGAAACTAAACACAGTCTTGCGAACGCCGTCAAAAAATGTTCAAGTACTGATCCAAGTTTCTCCAATTCTGCTGGTGTCGAGACGATCTTACTACTTCGCCCTCACGGTGACTGTCGGTCCAGGCAGCTCCCTTCTACCCTCGCCTTCTTCGCCGCCACGCATAAGCCTCTTATACGTGTCCCCCTCAACCCTCATGTGCTCTCCACGACTGACCTGCAGCCTATCCACACCCTTCCCGATAGCATCGATATGGTACTCTAAAGGCAGATCACTTCTATAACCCAGCATCTCTGGCGCCGCAACGCCCTCTCGTAAGTTCTCCAACTCGGCCTGGATCTCCTGTAGCTTGAGAAGTGTGCCTGACACATGATTGACCGCTCTCTTGCGATAGGCACCAATGTTGGCAAGTAGATTGAGGGACTTGGTGTTGGCTTTCACATCGCCGCGGTTACCCCCAAGTTTTGTCCAGAGGCTAGAAAGGAGCTCTTCTTGTCTGCCCGTTATCGTCTGGTCATCGCCTGTTGCAATTTCGTAGATGGTGCCTAGTCGCTCATCAAGGTTGTGCAGAACAAGAAGCAGAGCTTGAGCTGTTTCGATAAGACGCGTAATTTCGTCTTTGTTCTTGCTGACGTGTGAGACGTACTGGTCGAAGATGCGTTGTTGGAGCGTTGGCGGTGGCGCGACGAACGCACCCGTGACCTGGTTGATAACTCGGCCAACGGCGCCAATGGAAGCCTCTTTCTCCGAGATACCAGACAACACGTTCATGGTCCAGGTGTTTGTCGCGATTACACGGTCCATGGCTGCGCCTATACGACTGTTGTAACGGGAGAGATCGACGGAAGCTTCGTTGGCTGTCTGCACAAAGTACTCGAATTCGTTGTCCAGTGCCTTTCGGCTCGGAAGACGAGAGTGCTTGACAAGAATTCGCAGGTCACGAATGGCCAGCTCAGAGTTCTTGATCGTGGCTGGCAGGGCAGAGGTATCCTTTGATGCGTCCAAGATATCCTCAAATCGGCTTTGAACATTGATGAGTTCCTCGAAGTCGGCCTGAGGCTCTGACGTGTCTAGCGTAGCGCATGCGGGGATGAGGTAAGAAGAGCCTGGTATCGCGCAAACAGGCCCCATGACAGCGTTTGATACCGTGGATCGTAGTATTCCAGATGCTAGCTGAATGCCGAAGACTAGGATACCAACACCAAGGGCGACCCCTAAGAACGGCTTGATAAAGTGTCGCATCGCGTAGGAGAAGATGTCTAGGAAGTGGGCGAGGAGTGGTGCGGCGACGTTATCCCAGAAGAGGTTCACGTAGTGCCATGGGCTCACTTCTTCCTGGTTTTGTTGTGGCGCTTGCGGGTATCCGCTGGCAGACCCTTTCGTGAAAGGGCTGCCTGGTGCAAGGGGCGAGTCTGATGGGCGGTTTTGGGTCGTGTTTCTTACTCGGTTCCGCGGCTGGGATTTTGTACCTGGCGAGCCGCTGTAACCACTCGGCGAGTTACTCATGGAAGGCATGATGAAGCTCGGCTCGGATGCGTCTTGTTTTGGTGTTCTGTCGGGTCCTATCCTTTGCGACTGGCTGGCTTTCGTCCGACTTGCTGGCTTCCTCACGGGCCGAGCGTGCGTTTGCGCTGTGGGTGTTGACTTGCTAAGATGATTGCGCTTAGGTCTGGGTGTCACGGTCGTCCGTGGTTCTTGTACAGTTTCTTTGTCAGAGTCCTCTAATTCCAATTCGCTGGCTTCGTCGCTGGCCGAGTGAACGGAGCCCTCGTCACCGGATGCGTAGTCAGCGTCGCCCCAGCTACTTCCCAAGCTGTGTTCGAGTCGCCGTGAACGTGCGCTCATATTCAAAGTTGATGGTATCTAGGTCTGTGACGTGGGGCTGACGGTTGGGTGGGTCAAGGTAAGAGTGCAATACAGAGCAGGTGGTAGTTATAGATTTAGGCAGTGGTGTGTCTAGTGATGACCCAAACTGTCTCACTGACTGCCTTTGTGTCGTTGTAGGAGGCTGGGTAGAACAGGTTGCCACTTCCTACGTGTGACGTGGGGCCTGCCAATCAGGCTTCTGGCGCATACTGTGTCTTAGTGCATCGCAGAGACATCGAGCACTTTTGTCGTTAGTGGAGTTCCAGAGCGATGGCCCTAGCACTGTACCTGTAGTACCCGACTGCGTTCGGGGTTTGAGTGGTGTTGGCGTACAGACGCGTCGACGTCATGTTCGAGCTCGCGTGCGCCAAGACGACTAGTCCAGAAAGTGCATCCTGAACAGCACGCGAAGTTGGTGCAGGAGTCAAGACTTTCCGATGTCACTACGCCAGCTTTCCCTTGCGCTACGGACTGCAAGACGGGCGCAATTAGAACCAACGAGGTGGCGCCAGCATGGACGTCTTTTCGCGCGCAGCTGCTCTTGCTCCGCGCCCCACCAGTTGCAGCACACGGTGACCGTCTCGTCTGAAGCACCCGCCAGTGCGCAATTGAACCCTACAGCCGGCACCCCGCCTACACCTCCTCTCGACCATCGAGCCCTCGCGCAAACACACAATCTCTTTATCACATCTCCATATAGCCCCGGCTCGCCGCTCATCCTTCCCAACGGTGCCTATGTCTTCCAGAAGTTGCAGTCGTTCCTGCGTGCGCAATATCCACAGTTTGGCTTTCAAGAGGTCATCACACCCATAATATACAAGAAATCGCTATGGGAAAAGTCCGGGCACTGGGAGAACTATGCGGAGGACATGTTCAGCGTGCAGGGAAGAGGGACAACGGCGCAGATACCTGAAGCAGAAGGCGGAGAAGACGGCGAGTTCGGTCTGAAGCCCATGAACTGCCCCGGCCACTGTTTGCTGTTCAGAGACGAGATCAAGAGTTACAGAGATCTCCCAGTTAGACTCGCCGACTTCAGCGCTCTGCACCGGAACGAGATCTCAGGTGCCTTGACAGGACTGACTAGAGTCAGGCGGTTCCACCAGGACGATGCGCACATCTTCTGTCGGCCAGACCAAATTCTGGCAGAGATTGAGCAGACGCTCAAGTTCGTGGGCATGGTATACAACACGTTTGGACTGGGACCCTACAAGCTGCATCTCTCTACTCGGCCCAAGGACAGCTTCATCGGCACCATCGAGGAGTGGGATCGTGCAGAAGAGCAGTTGACTACCGCGTTGAACAACATCGGAAGCGAATGGGCAATCAACGAGGGAGACGGAGCGTTCTATGGCCCAAAGATTGACATCATCTTGAAAGACTCGAACGGCAAGGAACATCAGACGGCAACCATACAGCTCGACTTTCAGCTGCCGCAGCGCTTCGATCTGCAATACCAAGCATCACCGGAAGAATTGGAGGCAGGACCGCAGTCGTCTATGGATGCAGGACTGGATCCGGCTCTTCGCCGCCCAGTCATTGTACATCGCGCCATCTACGGTTCCATCGAGCGTTTCATGGCTCTACTGATCGAACACTACGCTGGCAAATACCCTTTCTGGCTTTCGCCTCGACCAGCCATTGTCTTGTCGCTTAACTCAGACCCTAAAGTCCTCGAACATGTCTCGCGCATACAATCTGTCCTTTCCGGTCTCACACCCTCCGACGCACCAGCCACGTCCGCATCGTCACCCAAGCCCTTACCGTTATCGACTATACACCTGCCCATCGATGTCGATACAAGCGACCGCTCGCTCGGGAAGAAGATCGCCGAGGCACGAACAAAGAAGTACAATCACATCATTGTGGTTGGCGGCAAAGAGGTCGAGAGTGGTAGCATGAATCTTCAGATCGTGAACCAGCCAAATGAGGAGTCCACTATAGAAGCGATACAAGTTTCTTTGGGGAGGACACTTACTGACAAAGAGAGATCAAAAGCCACCGTGAACGTCGACCTAGATGGCGCTAGGAAATACTTCGAGAACCTGGCCAATTCGTTCTTGTAATACAAAGTCGATTCGGATTCAAAACCTTGTCTATGTTCAATTGTGTGACAACGTAGTTGCCCGGTGTTTAGTCTCGCTGTTTGCTCTGCCCGTTTTTACGATCCGTCATTACATGCGGCCGATAACGACATTTCGCACCCTATTTCGAGAAAAGTTCCTAGTCTGCGTAGTATAGAACAGGCTTTGCCAATGCTACTACACCCCGAAGGCTTGTCGACCGCATTGCGACATCTAAGTAGCAAGGTCTATCCGCATTTATCAAGGGTGTCTCATGTCCTCAGAGTCGAATTACCGATTGGTGTTCTCGCTCTCACTTTCACTTTCACTTTCACTCTCACTACCCGAGCACCGCCAAGACAACTAGTTCTTGCACGGGTACCTCAAAATTCTTCTCGATCGCTCACCACGTCACCAATCCCTCAGCGACGTTTCTTGTTCACGACCCTATCTCACGCGATGGCGACCGAAGTGCCGTTCACCGCCGACGCCGTACGCAGTATAGAGCTAATTCCTTGTGCACATGCGCCCACCAAACCACCAGCGTGAGTCCGAAACAATTCCAGCCATGCGTTCTTGCTAACAATCTCAGCCACGTCTACGACAAGATCATTACCGTCGCGGTCGGACCGGACAATGCCAAGAAGAAGTTCAAGATCTATCGCGGGCTCCTGTGTCACTTCTCCAGCTACTTCGATCGCATGCTCAACGGTTCCTTCCGGGAAGGTGGCTCAACGTACCTTCGACTAAAGGATACCGACGCCGACACCTTCGACGTGTTCTTCTATTGGCTCAATGCTGGTGTTGTAGGTCTGGCGGACAGCGGAGGCCTTCTGGACTGGGGGAAGGTAATGAAGGCCTACGTGTTCTCCGACTTTCATCAGGCGCCTATCTTCAAGAATGCTGTCCTAGAATCCCTCTTCAATGGCTGGATAAAAGACTCAACGATCACGCTTTGGGTGACAGAGGTTTTGTATACCAAGACGTGTGATGGAGACTCGATGAGGAAGCTCATTGTCGACATAGTGGCTGCGACAGGCGACTTCGATCGGCAATATAGAGATTATATCACCTCCGCGCACAAGGACTTTCTGGTTGACATGCTTATGGCATTTAAAGAACAGAATTTAGTCCCCGGTCAAGGCAGGACAAACAATGGATTCGCTTGGCTTGACGAAGTGCGCAACAGCTTTTGTCAAAGATATCATACGCACAGAGAGAGGGAAGCCTCATAAGGAGACTTCGATTCGTAAGTCTACGTCTCGGTCGTGGCAGTCCAGTGGCAGTCGCTGATCCGAGGCGCAGGTGCACTTAGGTGGTGGTGGGCCAAGCCTGTTGTCTTTCCTTTGGTTTAATAGTAGAGCTGCGTGCGTAGTGTTTGCAACGGCTATTCCACCTGTCCGATCCATTTTGACTGTACGCATGCTACCCTTTTGATGTCGCACTCCATGACCTTACTATGGGGCAACATCAACGTCGTGCCAGTTCAAAACGGAGCATATGTATTGACTTTTGTGTTATTATCCCCTTCCATCGACCAACAGATCTTCGAGCTGGCAGTATGCCTGTATATCGCTACTAGGTAAGAGTGAGTAATTTAGCTCAAAAGCATCTTCACCTTCACCTTCACTTCGGTTCTCGGCTAGTGGAGTCTGCCACTTATAGCAAGTACGTGAACAGTCTTTACACCTCTTGAGCACTTTTATCAACAACATCTTTAATTCCTTGAACGAAACCAAGTTCAACACTGTTACGATGAGCTACCCACTAGTACAGTGCGCACACCCGTGGACCGCGCCTACCATCACCAACAAGCACGACACAGTCACGATCAAGGTTAGCGCCGGCAGCAATATCCAGAAGTATGACCTACATGTCGAAGCACTCAGAGCGCGCTCGCAACACTTTCATGAGGCCCTTTCAGCCTCCTCAAACGAGGAGCGCACAGCGATCCACCTCGCGTGCTCTACGCCAATGCGATTCGACGTCTTCGCCAACTGGCTTTACAAAGGCAGCCTAGACTCCAGCAATGATACCAATTTGAGATACCTCTTCTTATGCGAACTCCACGTATCCGCCAACACCTTCGACATCCCGCTCCTGCGCAACAAGATTGTGGATGTGTTCTTCAACAAGCTTTTGCGCGACGCACAGCCACTACCCTACGACATCATGAACTACATCGAGGAGCATCTGAGGGACTCTGCTTTGAGGACCATGATGCAAGACATCATGCTGAACTGCGGTGACACGGAGGACATGGCCGAGTGGAAGGTCAACCTTGCGAAGGGCTTCAGGATGGAAGGTGGTAGAAACAAGGACGTCGCTGAGACAATTGGCAAGAGTTCAGATGTGAGAGAGTACTTGGTCGCATTGAGGGGTAAGGTATGCGAGAAATATCACGAGCATGTTGAGAGAGATGAGATGGTCGTGGAACGTGAAGAGATGTGGTTCTTCGATCCACCTCTAAACTAAGCGGGAAGCACTTTCATGGAGTATGAGACGTCCGACATATGGATGAAAACGAGGTTGGAATGGAAAGAGTGGGATGTCGTAGTGGCATTTGATACATTCAGTTGTCATATTGTACATACGAACAAAGTGATCTGGTTAAACTCACTGGAACATGGTCGCTAACATTATGACTCCTGACACAGTATAAGATGAGCTCCTGTCGAACTATGTACCTTGGTATGAAGGACTGTACTCGCAATGCATGTGCGGAGGCTGTGCATACCTGGGCAGTTCTTTCCAATGTTTGCACTAGCCTAACGCTAGTCTTCGTCGGGTAAGGCCCTGATTTCGCTGGCTGACGTCATGAGCTCGCACGATGGAATCCAACTACTGTCTCGTCTCAAACCGACCTGCTCCAAAGATGATCCATGAACGTTCCCATAGCGCTTCCTAGCCTCTTCTGCTGACGATCGGGGTATATCTGCAAAACCGCAGCCATGCAACGCCGCGCAGCGCTTGGCCGCACCAAACAGAGTGTGGCGTACGAAATTCAATGTCGCCCAAAGCACTCTTTGTGTTCGGCGCTCGCTGATCGGGGATGGCGTCGTATTAGTTACGCAGGAAGGTGCTAGACAGCGGTATAGGATGAAGGCAAGCGCAGCCAATCGCGTGTAAGTCGGTATATAACAAGACCGAAGAAGGGCGGTGATGAGTCCATGGAGTACACCGCAAACGGATCCTTCCGGTCCTTTAGTAGCTCGAGACTGCTAAGACACATGTCGCAAAATACAACTTCTTGACAGCATCGCCGCCTTCAACGGAGATTGAAGCGTACCTTGTCTAGCACGCGGCTGATGGGCACAGGCTTCTCGTTCACAAAGGAAACCTCGGAATCGGTGCGTTCCTCTACGAAAGAAGCTCGAGATGCCGGTGGCGATATCTCCGGATCAGCCGAACGCATCGTCAGCCATTGGGTGACAAGCATACCGAGACAGACTGAACTATGCATCAGCGTTTGTTGACCACAAGGGGCGAATCGGGAACTTACTATCAGCGAGGCACATGAGCAGACAAGCGTGGCTCATCTTCGCGAAGTTCCAGGCGAGAAATAGGCTATTGTTGCACAAAGTGACAAACAACATGAAGCCCGAGCCAACAACATTTCGAACCAGCATGACTCGCAAGTTATTACGAGAAGATACGGCCCGTCGTGTTCCTTTCATCCAAAGTCGGAGTCTCTGCATCGAAGAGCCAGTTGGTGTACCAGCAGTGTCGCTTGCGAAACTGAATATCCTAGGTGCCGATGAGCCCAGTGCTGGTCGAAGCTGCCAGACGAAGATCCCCGTGAGAACAGTGTTCATCAGGATGTCCAGCACGATGATCGCAATTGTAGCCGGTCGCTCGATGCCTATCCTGCATTCGCCTGTCTGGTGGTTCAAGATAGCCATTGGGTTGACAAACTGCCATCCCATGATAGCGAGGAAACCACCCGTGACAAAGATCCCTCCGAAGACATACAGCATATCCCTTGTGCGATCCACAAAGGGAGCTCGTACGATATGAACGCGCTCCAGCAAGAAGAGATATCTGTATGTGGTTCAGCATCCGGATTTGGGTGAGCGTCATGCACGAGTAAACACTTACAGTGCTATCTTGTCCGCGCTATACATGGCGATGCAGACTCGTATGGCAGCATGACATTGAGCATCCGTTTGCAGACCCAGTCCAGCTATCTGTATGGCTGTGGCAAATAGAAAGGCCGAGCAGATGAAGCCTTGCGCGAACACGAGTACATCCGACACCCGAGTTTTGGACTTCTGGCCAGCCATGCGGCCTGCTCGATATCCTACCAAACAGTTAGCAAACGTATTGAACGACCTCTAGATACGAAACGGTCAACATAAAATTCGAATGCACTTACCCTGGGCCAACGCGAGAACAAATGCAAACAGAATGCATATGATAATCACTGCCACGCGATGTGGTGGCAGCTCGTCCAGGTTGACATGTTTGTGGCTTTCGTCCCGAGTAACAAGAAAAAGCGGAGACATTGGCTGCGCAGCCACACCAGCGATGGAGATTTGCGCAAAGGCAAATAATATCGCAAAGGTAGAAGATCGCATCAACGCTGCCAAGGTGTCCGTTGAGACATGGGGAGTGGTCTCACGACATATAGGTTCACGAAGCGAGCTCTGATCAAGTGTTCAAACTAATTTGCGTATTACGCCGTGGCAAGACTTCTCACTCAACGTCAATCAATCACAACACGGTATATCCTCGATCTATCGGATCGTAGGGCAATATGTCAAGGGCTAGCGCATCAGTGGACGAGTCACCGCTAAAGCTTACTTCAACGGTTCCGACGAGGGAAAGCTGGAGACAACTCCGTAGCGCCGAGCAAGCACCCCGTAGCGAGCCTTCCACGCGCTATGGTGCGGAGACGTTGCGCTACAGCCCTACTACTAGACACCGTTGGGCTCTAGAAGTCTTGATCGGCTGGAGAGTTTTGACCGCTGCTTCATGAGATGCAGAAGTCGCTTCAGCCACATGTTTGCGCCTCCAAAACGACCACCGTGAAGGCTCTGGTTTCCAAATACCATGGTGGCATCTGAACGAGGCTATGCGCGTAAGCTTACGGCGACGAGGTCCGGAGGTTCCAAGAGGCTTGGATCTCGGGTTGGGAAAAGGACCGGATGCCGCACGCCCCGGGCTTATCATCCAGGGCTGATACAGAGAGAACCTTGGAACCTTGGAAACCTTCGGGACGCGCCCTTATCTCTGGACCCTCATAATGTCCAGCAGCCATGTCATTCCGTAGTGGTAGCCTTCGTCATCGTTGGTTTCCGCTAAGTCCCTTCACATGTTATGGCTGTCGTTCCGACTCCACCTTGGCTATGTCACGATGCAGAACAGACATCGTGTAGTGTATGTTCTTCTAGGTCGCTTCACTCGTTTTGCCTCCCAATAGTCTAACTAATCAAGTGTTTGCGGACTGCAATAGGGTTTCGGCCTTCTTTTTGGGCGTGCTCGGACGAAGAAGACCGGGATATCTGGAAGCTGTCACAGGTCAGTGAAGGGTCTACCATGCACCCCTCAAGTATGTACTTTCTGTAAATTAAATCAAACGTCCAAGCCCTTTTAATGGCCTTGGGCAGAGACATGTAATCTTGCCAAGGGTACTAATAAGGAACGACAAGCCCAGTCTCCCCTATCAGCCGTATCCTTCACTCCGCTGGCAATTCACCTACGCAATACCTAGATTCATTTAGATGTTGTCCCACCAATGAGAAGTCTTGCAAACACCTCTGGCGATCACTATGTATCCTTCGACCGTGGCCGCCGCCTTTGTTACTTATTTGACAAAGGTAAATGGGTGGTGATCATCTGTGACTGAAAGTCGTCTCCATGGCTGGCACGCGATGTACTGAGCAGGGTAGTATGGTCGTTAGACGAGAGTAGAACGCAGATACAGCAGAGCTAAAAGCAGCAAGTGTCACGTAGCATACCGTTATGTGTTAGCATGGAGCGCAGGTGAATATGCGTACAAGGGTTAGTGTTTGTTTGGTCTATGTGGAGTACCTTGCTGTACATGGTCGCGCTTCGCTTGGAACGTAACTGCAAGTGCATACACGTGGGCTGCCTCTCCACTACCCTAACAGAACTTCTCCATCGTTCATGAGCTCAAATCAGACTCGTAGCCTTCCCTACCGATAGCCATTGGCTCGATCGATGTCCGAATCCGTCAGTCGTCCTTACAAGAATCGTGTATGTTGGGCAATGCTGAGATTTCATTGTGCCAACAGGCGAATGGAAAGACGCTCGCTCACTTGGTCTACCAGCCAGAAGAAGTATTGGCATCGGCAGCTGCGGTGGTGTCGTCAGCCCAGTTGCCGCTCGACTCAACCGGAGTATCACCCCAACCGCCAGCCGCAGCGGTCGAGCCACCGGCATCGCCCCAGTCACCGCCGGCAGCCTCAGCAGGAGGCTCAGGGCAACGCTTCTCGCCATGACCGAAGTTGTTGCAGTTGCGGCACTTCACGCGGGACCAGTCACGAGGCTTGGGGCACTCGCGAGAAGCATGACCCTCCTCGTCGCAGTTACGGCACTTCATGACACGAGGCTTGTCGCACTCGCGCGACATATGACCCTCATCTCCGCAGTTGTGGCATGCGCGACCAGGACCACCAGCCATGGGCTTACGAGGCTGAGTGCACTCCGTCTTGCGATGTCTGTTAAATGTTAGCTTGACACTCCAAAACGATCGACAAGAGTTCGACTTACCCAGTCTCGCCGCAGTTGAAGCAGGCTTGACCACCAGAGCCCTGAGGACAATCGCGCTTCTGGTGACCCGTCATACCACAGCCGAAGCAGGCACGGTCGCCGCCACCGCCACCTCCACCAGAGGGGCAGTCACGCTTTTGATGGCCAGTCTGACCACAGCCAAAGCAGGCCCGATCGCCGCCACCGCCGCCGTTGTTGTTGTAGCTGGTAGTGTTTGCAGTAGAGAAACCGCCCGCAGAGCCCCAGCCGTCATTGGCAGTAGTCGTAGCGCCGCCGAAGGTGTCACCACCAGAGCCGAACTCGTTGTTGGCGTCAGCAAACTCGTTGGTGCCGCTGAACTCGTTGCCACCACCGAAGCTTGTAGCGTCACCGCCGAAAGTACCAGCTGGGTTCTTGGCCTTCTCTAACTCTTCGCGCTCTTTGGCTTCGGCCTCCCGGTGCTTCTTGGAGTTCTTGTGTCCGTTCCAATCCTTTGTGAGGATCTCGCGGTCGCAGAGCTCGCAAACGGAGATACGAGCAACATGCTCCTTGGCCTTGGGGTATGGGTTGGATACCATGGTCGAATACAGGTTAGCCGGACCACGAGCCATGATGAGGACTGTGGACGATGTGAGAGAGGTGAACTAGACACAGTTCGTTAGCTTTTTGCACTCCAGAGACGGCAGCAGTGCAGTGAAGCGCGACAGACGTCGGTCGAGCGCCTAAAGAATCCAGACTGGAAGCAGCTTGGAGCTCGCGGT